TATATGTATATGTCAATTTATGTATAAATTTTACATTTTTCTTATCTCACAGTAAAAAAGTACGATATTCTACAAGTTTATTGTAAAATAAATTAATTATTTTTAGTATGAAAGTTCGCAAAGCTAAACCATGAATATGTGACAGGTACGATTTATTGAAAAAAGAAACTATCAAATCTCGTGAAAAAAAAATTTTTCCGAAATCTTAATGCATGATTGCCATTTCTAATGGAATGTTTTTTTTTTGTCTTGATATCTCTCTTAGCACTGCAATTATTTTTTCACTTGGTGGAACAAATCACAACAAATAATGCAAACGGTTTAACATAAGACTAATGATTAAAAAATTTCAACTGATATCCTCATTTTGTTCCTTTTTGAATCTTATAACTATTTAAGATTAAAAGATTGCATTCCAGAAAAAGATCCAAGACTACGACGAGCTTTCGTCCGCGTTTTTTACTGTGTCTTGTTCACTTTTTTGAAGCCATAATCTTTCCAAATCAAACGGTTCAAAATCTGAAAAAAAAAAAAAAAAAAAAAAAAAAGGGTATCATTTTAAAGATAAGTATTGCGAAAATTACTAGTCACTATGCACATACCTTTTAGCCTTGGACTAGGTTCACCTTCATAATATATCACTGAACCTAAGCTCTGATTTCTTTGATTTTTAGGACTATCTCTGTATTCTTGACTCACTGAGTTCCAAGCTGAAATAAAATAAACCACCACAACGATCAAATGTAAAATAAGGTAAAAAGATAATTAAAAAAAAAAAAAAAGTTTTGAAGAAAACATAAAAATACAACTTACAATCGCATATGTATTTGATAAGATCCGAATGTTGTGAGTTTGATGGTGCAAAGAGCGGATTGCGTGGATCGTGCCTCGAAGTCGGAGGCCTCTTGCCGCCGTTCATCGTTGTGGCCATTTGTGGTGATCTGCTGCTGGAACTAGCGTCAAAAATTTCTCAAATATTATTTTTCGTTCACCTTGTTGGCACACAAATCCAACAAGAAACACTCATACATTTGGTCCCAGCTCCAAAACAAACACTCGTCGCGACTGTATCTCTCTCTCGAGAGTCTAGTTAATCCAAGAACGCCCGTGCGCGCTCCAAAATTCAATTTCCTCGCAAGGTTGTCAACTTATGTCGCGCGCTCAAAACAATAAAAAAAAAAACAAAAAAAAACAAAAAAAAAACAAAAAAAACAAACGATAAACAGTCGACAAGTGTGTCAAAACTTGTACTAAAAATCAACGTGCTTTTAGCGGGCTTGGAATAATAATGAAAATAAAACGACGCCACACGCTCGCGCAAATGTCAACCAACCTACTATACTAACTCTCTCTCTTTTTCTCCTCCCTTTCCTCCCCTTTCATAAAACGGAGAAAGATAGAATCTGTATGTATGTATACACACATAAAAGGAGCGGGAGGGGTTTGAGGGGAGTTGGGACGTATTAGGCAAAATGTCGGCCAGTGCAGCGGGGCAATCTACACGAGCAATTTTTCGCCTGCGTTGGCAAACAACGCAGCTCCTGCTACATCAGCCATAGCAAGTCCACCTATATAATACTTTCAGTAATGTACTTTCTCTCTTCTAGTCTGCGGTATTTAGTTGGCTTCTTTAGCTCGTTCAAGCCAGGTGTTCAACAAAGATAGCGGTGTATCTCTTAGGGACTTATATACAGGCGAGCTAGGGCTGCTTTACAGGGGGAGAGAAGAGAGAGATGAAAATTAGAGTTAAAAAAGAACGAGAGAAGCATAACACGCCAAAAGCGCGCGCTGTCTCTTCTCTCTTTATATACGTGTATCTATTTGTTTGTTGTTTATATATGTATAGGCACCACATATTTGGCGTCAACTATCAATTTATTTCGATAAAATACGCGCAACATAATACAACCGAATGAATAAGCATTAATTTTGGAGCTAAATTTTTTTCATATACTTGTAGCGTATAAAATACGTACCTCATGTTTATCAATTGAAAAACAATTAGCACTTAGGTTGCACAGAAAATCCCCAAGAGGTGCGAGAGATAAAGGATCAACAATTGTTTATTGTTTTATACTCTCCGTTCTGTCGCACACTTTTTTCACCCAAACACAATTATCTCTGATGCTGTTGTTGACGTTGCACACACATTATGCACGTACGCTGCGTAAAAAAGCAAAATTTGCATACGCATAAGTAAGGATCGAAACTCTGCCGCATGGCGTCTTCAATTATAATATTTCGTCCAATCCTCTGATCCCCCTCTCCCTCAATGTCCTTATTGAATTAATTCTGGATGTACATGAGAAAGCTCATACCACATTAAAAAATTTCGTTAAATTTCGCAGTTTCATCCACCACTAGTAGATAAACGTTAGATAACACACTGGATGCGTATACAGTAAAAGTAAGTGCAAAACTTGATACGATCAATGAATAATTTCATACAAAACGATCGAGTATGTGGATGTTTATTCACTTAGTATTTTTACTGATGCAGAAACGGAGCGAAAGGTATATATCTCGCGCCACTCGCTTTGTTTACGCTTTACACATGCAGTCCAGGTCCGGTCCGATCCACTTGGACTGTCCGCAACATTCCTCTCGGACTTCGGATCATTGTTTTGAATCACTGCCTACTTATTTCACATAAAAATTTACCTACTTATCGGTAAATGTCTCATCACTCGGCTTTATGCGAGGTAAGATGTAAGAAAAGTGATGTACTCTCGTCAAGGTCTCCCAGGGATGAAAAAAGTTGATATTTGAATTGCGCGCGGCTTTAAGAGGTGGCGCTAGTAGCATCCGGTTCTCCAATATGGTGGAGACGTCTTTTCCTGTTTCGCGTGAGAGAGAGAAAGTGTGATTGCAGGTGGCATAGAGAGCAACGAAGAAGAAACTACGTCGATAGCCGGCTTCTATCGTGCGTCGTGCGTCTTCTTGTGCTCGGCGCATCCGTTCTTTTGGCTGAGTGTGTGAGTGAGTGCACATCGAAACCAAACGAACGTTGCTAGGGCTAGACTGCTGAGCCGTCGATTTTGTAAACGTTAATAAACGGCCTAGCCGTTAATATTTTGCGTACCTTTGGCTGCCGGCCCGTCTTATCTACCATCATGACCGACAACCGTAAGTTACATTTTATAAGTTTCTTTGATACATCTCGTACCGATGCCCGGGACCTACGCGATTCCGCCATGTAGCCGACGCTATAGCCGCGTGCGTCGTATACCTTTTTTACATGGACGCCGACCATTTTCAGGTTGGCGTCCCAGCTCGAGCGAAAAATCGATATTCAGGCTTGATACGCTTGGACGAGTGTCGTGAACAATTCCACCCTCTTGTCTCGGATTGTATCCATCCGATGCTGTGCTCCGATCTCGGGTTGCCATTGAGTTTGTTTTTCCGTCCGCCACGTTGAAGTTGTACTTTATCCGTTTGTAACGTTGAGCGAGGGCGTGGGTCAGTACATATTCGTGCAGGGTTGTATCGACGCGGCGGATAGACAACGATGCTCTCGCATCAGCGGTGGTTTTGAAAAATTTTGTTTTTTTGTTTTTCCAGAGTACGCCAATTACCAGCAACAAAACTACAATCAATACAGCCAGCCGCCCCCAATGTCGGGTGCTCCAGATACGTCTTACCCGCCTCCTAGTACAGGTGGATCTGGCTCGTACAATCAATACAGTCAGCCGCCTCCGAGTTACCAAAACTATCAAAACTACCAGAGCAGCGGTCAAGAGAGTAGCCAAGACTACAACCAAAGCCAAAGCTACGATTCCAACAGTTATGGAGGCAACGGTGCTAGCGATGGCAATGACAGCTATGGAGGATACGGGGGTGGAAGCGGCGGTGGAGGTAACGGTGGCAGGGACGACAGAGGAGGATACAACAGGAGTAATTCCGGAGGAGGAGGATACAGTAGTGGTGAGAATTTTATCTTGCGGTTGCCATTAACATTGCTGCTTGTGTTAATATACATTTTTATGAATAACTTTTTTTTTTTTTTTTTTTTTTTCTTTAATCAGGCGGAGGGGGTGGTAGTGGTGGCCGATTTGGCGGTGGAGATGAAAGGAGGGGCTACAATGATCGCTCTGGTGGAGGCTACAAGTAAGTTTCGCATTACTTTATTTTCAATAGTTCATAAGGGAAGGGTTGTTTGAAAAAAGATGTCAGAAGAGTACTAAGGTTCAACAAATTAACTATTTGCTCTTCAAGTCAATTCAGGGGATGTTGTGTATAAGTAAAGGTGTAAAGGTAACTCAACATTGAGACCATGATTTTCAAATTATGAATATTATTTTGAAAATACTATATTGTCCTAATAAAATAATTTAATGCCCTGAAGGTCTTTGATGTATTAAAGGTGTGTCTACTAGTAAAACCAATTGTAAAGGTAATATAAGATATGACTGTCGTCAAAGGTTTTTAATGTCTGTGTATTAATGCTACCTATTTCGTGCATTCAAGTAATAATAGGTTCGCCTCACGATGCTTGCATGCGTTTTCAATTCAGATTAAATCTTATATAATGGTTCATAGCGATATCTTCGTTCTACAAAATATATCTTCATTAAACCTGAACTTGGAAATTTTGTTTGCATTTAAAGATATAAATCAGAATCGCTAAAAAAGTAATTTTCTTACAATTTTTTTTTTTTTAATGAAATTTAATTTTATATTTACTTTACTACACGTAAACATTATTCATGAACACCATGGTACATACAATAAATATTTCTCTAAAATATATTATATTTACATTGCAGTGAGATTACATTTGATACGAATGAGGAATAGTGTATGAATTCAACTTTTTGGTACCTCAGACTAGTTTAATCGTAATCAGTTAAGGAACAACAATCAGCAATAATGTTTCTTGGTAAAAAAAGAAATCATTTAGAAAGGTAGTAAATAAAAAAAATAACTTTTGTCATTTCATGGAAATCTCATATCAAGTTACTTTTCTGATACATTCACTAGTCAGTATTGATAAGTTGTAAAATGTTACATAGAATGATGTATGCTGCTATTTACAATTTATAGCCATTATTAATTTCATTGTAAATTATGTGCCAAGTAACGTTTTATTTCATTCAAGAAATATGTGGAATAATTTAAAACCTTGCAGGACTGACATGACAGATATATTGAGAATCTTGATATATATGTACAATGTATAATGTGGTATTAAAGACTTGAGACATTAGGTGCATCATGAGAAGAAATAAAAGAAGTGGTAGCAAACAAAGCCAGAGTATGGGGTAGCCATACACCAATTGAAATCTCAATCTGTTCGTGAATCAACTCTCATTGGTATATCTGCTTCTGTGTTTTAGCAGTGGCGGCGGTGGCCGTGGTGGTTATAACAAAGGTAAATGCACCAGGCTCTCTGTACAAGTCTGGTGCTATTCATGCATTCACTCTAATATTTATTGAATTATACAATTGGTCATTTTCATAATATGAAAGGGCTGTTAATAGATAAGCGAATTGTTCATTGACCCAAAGTGTTTCCCAAAAAGAAAAAAAAAAGAAATTAGTATCATGAGTAATAAAATTTATATTTTGATCACCAATTGCTTTTTTCTAGCCATAAAAATAAATTCTTACAATGCATTAGAAATGGTTCGTATGACTGCACATTCGTAATAACTTTGTCATCTAAGCTGTTCAAACTTGCAGTTCTTTTTTCAGAAATAAATAATTTTTTTTCAAGTCAAAAAAAAAATACTAGGCATGAAAAAAAATTCCACTTGGTGTTTCCAAATTCGCGAAGTAGTGAAACTATTTTCATCTGATCAATAAAAAGGTTGCAAGTAAGGTAATAACTAACGAATATTAAGAAACAACTATAAATGAACCTTCCCAATATCCCTGGAAGAATTATTTGTTGCAATTAATACCTGAAATGTAGTTTTCACTCATTTTTATAATTAATAAAAGGCAGCTGGTGGTAAATATAAGAAAGAAACGTGAAAATAGAACCCTGATAAAACAAAATGAAGAAATTAAGTACAAATCAAGAATATTCTGCAGCCCTTTTGTATCTAAAGCTGATATCAGATTGTTAGTTGTTTCAGCATATATAGGCATTTTTTAAAGCAGCAGTAGAAAGTTTGGCCAACGGGTTTTAAATCATATGTTTAAGTTGAAGAAAAGGATTTTGCCTACAGGATACTATGGATAAATTAGAATTAAGATTCTATGAAATTAAGATTAATGTAATTGAGTAAAAAACAAAAAGAAAAATATTACATCAAGAAGTTCTTTGGAGTTCTGTGGTATATACATGGAAGATCAGTATTAGGCAAGAATTGCAAAGAAATAGTATTAAGTTTTACTATAGTCCTATAAGATATTGGTTATTTCAATGTTATACTCTATATCAGAGTGCAAGATACGAATACAATTAATTGAATTAAGTAAAGGTTTTGACAAGAACAAGTTACATAAATGATCAAACTCTAGAGTTGCTACAATATAATTCCCTTGAAAAATAGAAATTGAAACAAAGAGTTAATCTAAGTTTGATTTGTTTACTATTAGCTTAGTTGAGAAAGTTAGTCTGTAGGAAATTTAAACTTCGTGTTACAAGTAAAGAAAAATTATCATTTCTCAAGAACCGTCTGAAATTGCAGGAGGATTCAGCGAGCGGAACAATGACGGACTGGTCGTTCAGGAGGACACGATTTTTGTATCTGGAATGGACTGTGAAATTACTGAAGACGAAATCTGCCAGCATTTTGGCGCTATTGGGTTGATAAAGGTCGGCTATGAAATACAATTTTTCATAAATAAGTTGATCATGTTATTTTAGCTTGTGTAACTGTTTGTTAATTTTATTGCAGAACGACAAGCGTACTGGCAAGCCCAAGATCTGGATGTACAAGGATAAAGACACTGGTAAAAACAAAGGCGAGGCAACAGTGACTTATGATGACCAAAACGCTGCGCGTTCGGCTATCCAATGGTTCGATGGAAAAGATTTTAAAGGCAACAAAATCAAGGTTCAGATAGCTCAACATAAGAGCAGTTGGTCCGGTGGCCGAACCGGTGGCCGAAGTAGCAGCAGTGACGGTGGTCGGGGTGGCGGTGGCCGAGGTGGTGGTCGTGGAGGTGGCGGCTACGGAGGTGGTGGTGACCGCGGCCGCGATCGTGGAAGTGACAGCCGAGATAGAGACGGAAGAAGTGACCGTCGTGATGGTAGTGGCGGCGGTGGCGGTGGTTCACGAGGTGGCGATTGGCGGTAATTTACTATTTGTAATTAATTATAACATACAGCTCATTCTATTGAAAGTAGTATGCTACAGGAAAAAATAGTAGTTTAATCAAATGCGGTTCAGCAACGCAAAATAGCATCTAGTTGTAAACAAATCACAGCTCAACCACGCTGTTAAACTATCGTTTACTACTTTTGGTATTACATTATAGGGGGAGTTCGCTTTTAAGAAGAAACATTATAATAAATGAATATACTTAATTTCTCATCTGTTTGTTCTGTTTTTAAGGTGTCTAAGCAATGGTTGCAACAATACAAACTTTGCTTGGCGTGATCAGTGTAATCGTTGTCAAGCCCCCAAGCCTGAAGGAATGGGTGGTGGAAGTGATCGAGGCGGTGGCGGTGGAGGACGCGGAGGAGGCCGTGGTGGTGGTGGTCGTGGAGGTGATCGAGGCGGTTTTAGAAGCGACCGAGGTGGCGGTGGCCGCGGAGGTGGTGGCGATCGTGGAGGTAGAGGAGGAGGCTTCCGAGGTGATAGAGGAGGCGGTGGCCGTGGTGGCAGTCGAGGTGGACCTATGCGAGGAGGTGGCGGAGGGTTAGTAATAATAAACAATTTTTTGTACCTACACTTTTGTTCTCTTGAGGTATGATAATTTTATAGTGGGAACTTTGTTTTTTACAGTCGTGGAGACAGAGATCGTGACCGCAAACGGCCTTACTAAGTTTCATCACCGAAGTAAATCATTTCAAGTCGTTGGTTAAACGACTACTATGTACATTTTTTTTCTGAATGTTGACAATGGAGCATCAATGTATTATCGAAGTGTCACATTTATATTATTTTTTACATGATTCCTTCCTTAAATACTCTGATTGCGTTTATCATAGCACGGAAAATATTTGTACCCTCATTGTATTAATTGTAGAAGTATAATTTACTTTGTAAAAGCATTTTTTGTAAATTTTCTGATCACTGCTGCTTTGGTGTAATTATAATGTATTACGTTATAATCTTGACAAATAATTATAACACAACTAGGTTTTAATAAAACAGTCTTTAGATATAAGATGTAAGTTATTTTATTATAAAGCAAAACCTTTTTTCCTTAAGTATAATTATTTTACATTGTCTATAATTGGTAGACCAATTACAAATACTTTCTATATCGACTTAATTTTAGATCTTAATCTAAAATTAGTTATATTTACAAATAGAATTATGCTTTTCTTTGAAACTAAAAATTTGCAAATTTTAATATATTCACAAACCGGGTACACAATTCATATTTAAGTAAGCTCCTTAAAAAAAGTAGTAAATGAATCTATGTACAATGATTTGAAACAAAAATAAATTTTCATAAAAGATTGAATGAACAGTACCAATGGCTTTCTTGTATGATGACAAAAAGTATCGAATATGGTAGCTGTTACATTGAGATAGTTGAAAAAAATGAATCAATTTAAATCCGAGACTGAATTTAAAAAGTTGAGCTAGAATTTTTTTAAATAAGGCACTTCAATACGTTGATGGTGCCTAAAGAAAAAGAAAAAAAAAAAAAAGATTAAAAAGTCACATTTGAGAATGAGGAAGACTCGTCGCACAAAACAGATGAAAAGAAATGATCACTCAAAGATCACGAGTTCGAGTGCTGAGATGGCGTTAATCCCCCAGAATGTTCAGGACTATGCTTTTGCTTTTTTCGTTTCTTCTCCTTTTTGCGCTTTTTCCTCGCTTCTTTTTCTTCATCGTGTCGCTTCTGTTTCTTATGCTTTTTCTCATGAATATCCGCTCCAACGATATCTGTTACTGTTGTCTCTTGACCACTAGGAATTTCTCCAGGTTTATGTTTATGTCGTTTGTGTTTATTCTTGTGTTTTTTCTGTGGAGTTTGATTTGCATTTCGATACTGGTCAGGAAGCTAGAAAAAAATAATTTCAGACAATTTATATCATACACTTGGTTATAATATTTATGAATAGTTATCTACATACCGGTCCTGGGTGCAATCTAAAACCTGATAACTGTACACTAGTCAGCGGAAGTAGTTCTTTGCCACCAATTGGAGGTTTCTCAATCACAGATCTCAAGGAACTTGAAAAAACAAATAATTTAATTCCATAATTTAAGTATAAGAGATTGAATGTCTTTAAAGGGGGAATATATGCACGTGAATTCACACATTCTCCCTGTTCACATTAAAATATTAAATGTATTACCTATTATCTTGATCACCAGGTGTATCAATGGCTCCAGGTAAATTTGGTAGAAATGATGATAACTGTTCTTTAAGTTTCTTTCCACTAAATTTACTGTACGAATGTTCAAGATTGTAAAAGGCCATCAGATTCCTGGCACCTGTTAATTCACTCTCGGCTGCAAATCACATGAAAATCATAAATAAATGTAAAACGATATGAATTGCTAAACAATTTTGTTTATCCCAGTGTTAGACTGACGTACCAGGTGGCTCTTTCATCAAATAAAACGGTCCACAATTGACAATCGATGGATTTTTTCCCAGGGAAATGGTGGTCTTTAGTGTGCCTGTGGAATCCTGTCGGGAGACAACAGGAGATCTGGCACCCCTGGGTGAGGATTTTGGAGAGTATGGCTCCACTTTGGTACGAAACTGATCCCCCATCATTTTGGCAAGGTGTTTAGTTCATTGCACTTTCACCAAAGAAGCAATGTTTTGGTTGTCCAATGACTAAACTACTTTTTCTTATATTCTTTGATGTGTCACACTTACTGAAATAAATAAAAGTAAAATACTGCACTCAATGGGTAAACAACAACTTATTAGTATTACAATACAGATATTTCTAAGGAACAATATTCATCAGACTATCTACTAGTAAAGTATAAAGATCATTGATATTTATAACTCGTTTACACATTAACATCGCGAATAAATGAGTTTGAGGGGAATTTATCGATACGTCGTCACTGGAAAAACCAATGATGAAAAAAAATAAATTAATAAATAAATAGAATAAAATCAATGTATCAAAAATCAAAGGAATAATTTCATACATATATACTTTGTGCTGGTCGGCTATTAATTGTATTGAACCAAGAGTTTCACATATCGACCAAACTACAACCTAACCTTCTCACTCTCACCTTCAAGCTTCAAGATTTTCTGTACCTACCTCTGAAGCTCATCAGTGAAACAATTTTAAAAAATATACTTGTACCGTAAAGCTGATACTTACTTATCACTTCTAGGCGTCACTTGCTCAGCATTCAGCCCAGCTGGGTGTCCCAGAGAGCTGGTGCCCGCTCGGCATCATACTCTCGACGACGGCAGGCAAACTGGTCCTCCGGTCCCGTCAATACGCATGGACCATATCTTGCGTTTACTATGCTCCGGAAGCGAAAGTATATATTATATATATGCTTCGACGCTTCGAGAGAAATCCCCAAGAAGTACTGACGACCGCGTCCGCTACCTCGACCCTTGACTTGACTCTGTTGTGTGTTGTGTTGTTTTTCTGCGACTCTTTCTTGCGCAGCTTTTCCTAAATTAAACGGCGGGGAAAAGTTTGAGTCACGTCTGATTTTAGCAGAATTAGAGTAAATATCACTTTCAATCTTGCATTAACCTTCAAGTACTTGAATACTTATCAGTTGGTAATGAATGAGAAATGTTATAAATTTAAAAATTTATACTGCGGATTGTTATCCGTAGAAAATAAAAAATGCAAAAGATAAGTGTGTAGCATGCAGCCGCGCACTCAGTGGAACTTTCATCTGTCGTGTACCTCATTATAGAACAGTACCTTACTATACGCCATAGTTCCGCAATAAGGTCAATGTTTTACGGACTTGTCCACATGTCGTGCAAGAGTCATCTTAGAGATACCAGATACTCTAGCTCAAAACAACAAAGAGGGACAATCGAAGATCTGGTAGCTGGTACTTTCGACATTTGAAGTTGGAACCGGTACGAGCACGTTCATGTACGGAAGCCCGGTCATGCCTCGGCGCATTATCGAAACAAAAGGCTGTCGGGACACTCAGGACTTTGAAAGAGTTTTTTTTTAAGTTGTAGATTAAGTGATACACAATTAGACGTGCTAGGTCAAGGAGCGTATTAAAAAAGTGAGACGTTGAAGTAAAAGACAGAAAGGTTTTATTTAGAGAGACCGAATCTCGTGCCAATCGGTAAGTACTGCACGAAATGAAAAAGTTTTTTATTCTACCTGGAATAAAGCAAATTTTCAACCAAGAAAATCAAAATGTGTTATTTAGCTGAGAGTAAGCATTGTTAAAGTTAATCGTTTCTGAAAAAACTTCGTATACCAGCTAGTCAATCCATAACGTATGCGAAGTAATTTTATCTGTAAGATCATATTACACTACGTTGCGTGTAGGGCACCTTTATCTTCCATTTAGTACACAGACAAAGACCATTCACGAGAATTAATTGAAATGCAATCTCTTGCTTCCTAGACACGTTCTTAATGATACGGCAAAAATAACAGCCAAAACACACGCAAGTACATTTTTATTTACATTTGCAGCAGAGAAAATGGGACGCAACTTCGGCAAAAAGAAACAAAAGAAGGGTGGTAAGAAAAACAATGCTGGTAAGGCGAAGGTCAATGTAAACACCAAAAACGATGCCGTAGAAGAAGTCACCTGTCGAGAAGTAGCCATTTACCAGCCCCCTGCTAGTCAAAATGAAAGCGACAGTGACGAAGATGAGAGTGTAGAATGGGCATCATTTTTTTCTGAACAGCGTAGATCTCACAATTATTCCTCCAGTTCCAGGAATACCTATCGCCAGGCACGAAGAAGTGGAAATCGTTCCAGAGCTTATGATGATGAATATTACACTGAACAACTCCTACGGTCATTCATATTAGGTCATGCAGTAAGAGCTTTCATTGATCATTTGTTTGAATGTATAGTAGAACGACATTTTTAGGTTGAATTTTAATTTAGTGTATTTTTTCAGTTTTATACGATGATAAAAAAAATATTGTTTATTGTATTGGGTTTGTTCAGTTTCTTAAAAAGTATACACAAGTATTTTTTTGTGCAGTTACTTATTTATTTCATAGTTCACCGATTTAAACAAGCGTTCACATAATATTTTCTGATTAACGTAGTTTGAGTAACTCAAGATATCTTATACCATCATTGAAAATTATAGTAAGAGCATTAAAAGTTAAACAATTTTTAATTTTCAATTAGTTACTGTAACTTAAAATATTCTTTAGCATGTCAATTTTCAATGCATACATCTTGTTTTACAAGTATAAATTATTTCGAAAAGCATCCAAAGTATGAAACAACTGGGTATTGTCAGTTTTTAAGAAGCAACATACATTAATGTTTTATAATATTTAAAACATTTTTTCTTTTTCTTTTTAAATTGTTATTCAGCACAAAGATGTAATCTGACAAATGAATGAGTAACAAAGATACTTAATTAAAAAACTCTATAAATATATATATAATATATAGAATATTAATAATAGTATGATTAACAGCACAATAATGAGCTAGTGACATGAGATCAAAGAGACTGTGTACTATCATAATTTTATAAATGTAATTACGCCTCTTCTATGATGTCACACATTATAATTTAAAGTTTTTCACATATAAAGTCTTTTGTTATTCTTTGAACGAAATCCTCATTTCCTTTGGCTAATTTTTCTGCACTTACAAGGGTTACTTAGCATCATTGATTGTTATTATTTTATGTGTCTTAAGATTGCCGTTTTTATAAAAATCAGCAAGATCTTTCAAAGCTCTGTTCTTTTACCTACAAATTGGTTTATGTCTTTTTTTTTTCAAATTTTTTAAAAATGTTCTATTATGTAATACATCGAATAGCTAACAATTTTTTTTTAAATTGTGGTGTTACCTCAGCAAAAAGTGGTTATTTAATTGGTCGATACAATAATTATGTTACTTAAACATCATTGCTAAACGCAAAAATTCAAGTTGTACAATATTTGATTTTTATTTTCTTTAGATGAATATAATTCTAACGAATATACGGATTATACACCATGCAAGCGATTTTCAATAGGTATAAGAATTATTCGATGAGACGATTTTAATTTGAGAAAATGGAATGAAATTCTGTTATTGCCTCTGACTGCCTCTCGAACCCTTGGACGATTCTGCATATTCTCTCTGTTGGTGTTGATATTGCTGCTGCTGTCGCTGATGGTTATCCTTTGACTCTCTGTCTTTGTACTCTTGATGATAGTCCCTAGAATTTTGATCTCGACGATCTCGCTGTGACTTGTTATTCTGACCTTTGTATTTTCTATTGCCTCGGTCGTCCTTATAATAGTTACCGCTACTGTGGTGCCCTCGAGATCTGTAAAACGGAGGGTAGCTCGAACTATTGTCCACGCGGACGCTGCCATTCCGCAGCTGAGGCAAGACCGTGCTGTCCACCTCGACTTCCAGATCTTGTTGACGATCTTGGTGATGATGCCTGCTGTTCCGATGGTAATCTGATTGTGAGTTATGATCATATCTGCAATTTTAATTTTTTTAACCAATCATTAACAAATAACCCTTGACGGATATTCACCATTTTCATTTTAGATGACACGAGATGCAAACACTATATTGGCCCATTACTTACCCGTAATTACTTCTGGAGGCGCGATGCCAGTAGCTTTGGGTCTGTAAAGGTGGGAATTTGTGGTAGTTCTCCTCCTGACCCTGGACTTCGTTTGCAGATCCGCGGCCGTGATAGGCGCTCTGGACACCGCGACTTCTGCCACCGTTGCCATTGCTGCTGTGAGTACTGCTCGATCTCAAGTTGGCCAATTCCTTGCGCTGATCCTCGTTTTCTTGGCGCAGTCGCTTAACGAGAGCTTGCGCGTCATCTAGTCGAGCTTGAAATTCGACTTGCTGGCACTCGAGTAGACTGTCGACTTGAATACCGATTTCCGAGGCTTTTTGCTTTTCCTTGGATTTCTCATGTATCTCTATCGTTCTGTATGAATTTAAAAGGATTAAAAAAAAAAAAAAATACGACTGTTACTTTACCTTTTGTTTACACACTTTTTTTGCTTTTCAACTACTTCTGTTAAATAAATGTTACGCTTTTTCGTTTCGTTTAGCGTGGCTTTCACGTCCTGCAATTCTTTTTCCAATAATTCAACTTGAAGAGGAGCAACGTTGACGTTTGTTGGGCTCCCTTGCTGTAAAATGAATGAATAAACAGCATGAAAAAAGTGAAATTCAGGTGGACGATAAAGTTGCGTAAGTTACTTTTGGTTTCGCAAATCCATTTCCGCCATCTTCGGGAGAGGATGGGCTGCTGGAGCTATAACCAGTCCCTTTGGAGAATACCAGTTGGAACTGTAAGTCTACAAAAACAAAAAATATCGGTGTCAATTATGTGACCCTAATGATTTTTGAAAATATTAATTACCTCTGTTTCTCTGGCGCAGGACATCGACCTCCTGGTGAAGAGCGACAAGAGTAACCTGATGCTGATCTTGCAAAAATTTCAAGTTTTGTTCGAGTTGAGTTACCCTGTCACTGTACAGCCCTTGAAATCTGTCTTCGTCATTCTCCTCGTTTCTATTGGGTAATGGGATTATTTCGGGTGGCGGCTTTTTTCGCTGTAAGTAAATAAATTTTATTTTTAGACTGTTTTTTTTTTTTTTTTTTCTCAAAGTACCGAACAATTTGTTGAAACATTTCGGAACTTACTTGCGAAAAAGGAACGACTGGAAGTTTAACGAGAACTTTGGAAGTCATCTTGGTAAAAAATTGACTATTCTAAAATTGTGTCGATATCGAATGTTGCTCCACTTGGCAGACCTTGAACAGAAACAACCAAAAAGTACATAATTTACATTTAAAAATGGAATGCATCGACGAATCACAAACATGCGTTCTTTTATTGATAAAGTCGATATCGCCGCTCAAACAATTTCAGACAGTAATGATAATATTATAGATCAGTCATTTGCAGAGCTCCTCGAATTCAGTACAGTTCGTTCGTAACAAAAAAAAAAATGAGTACTGTAGCAATCATTCCACCAATGCGTGTCTGATTTACGAGCAAATATCACATTTTCGAGGCCTCGCGTGCACGTAAAAGCAATCGTGGTAAAACTTTCGAAGACGCTCCACCCGTGAACCAATATTATCCCCCTCCTCGTCGAGTTTCCTTGTTCGAGAACACAATGAGCATCTATATTGGTGTTTCGCGCATCATCGACGCACCAGATATTCTCAAACGAGTGTTTCGATTCGATCGCAAACCAGATAGAACTTGTTGGGGCGCACCGCACAAAGAGTCCCGGCACCACACAAATTTTCCACTCGAACGATTCATGCGACGGGAATGATACAGCCGCCAAAGAGAGACAGCCCCCGGCTCGGCCGCTGCATTTGTCCCCGATGCAAAAAAACACCCGGTCAATTAAGTCCGTCAACGGTGATGCATAAAATCCAAACATCCTCGCGTACCATCACATAATATATATGCACAACAAAAGGAGGAACGACAGCTTCACTCAAAGGCCCCTGACTCTTAAATGTCGCAATATCTATATTCAGCGGCCTTGGCTGATTGACGGGAAAAAAAATACCCTCGAATGTATGGTAGAAAAAGTAAATGATAATTACTCAGTGTCGAAGACAAGCCAGCGGGTTGCAAACTTCACAGGAAGGACGAATCGGCTGTGCGTATATAGGAAACACTAAAAACGAGTACACAAGCGAGTATATATGTATATTGTATAAAAAAACAAGGCGAGCTGAGGCTGCTTTGGACGTTTTCCCCGGCAGCGATGGAGAAAAACGATCGGGCCAGACTGAAGGAGCACCAAGAGCTTCTGTAGGTATTGTCCCTGCACCTACACAAAAGTTTTCCCGTAGTTTTGGTGCATCACGTACATATACGTGAACACATCCGGCGACGCAGTAGCATCGCAACCAATACACGATTACAGCAGCAAAGGGGGTATTGATCTGCGGCCCTCCTCTCTCCTAGACTCGCTTTCCGTACATGGAGCCCCTAGAACGCGAGAGGAGAAGCGTCGGTGTATAGCAAACTCGCGCGTCCCTGAACCCACCCTCTCCCGTCGAAAACCGCCCACCCTTGTATGTTTCCGCGCGCGCGCGCGTGTTGCGTGCATCTCCACCTACCCCTCGAGGGTGCTGGTATAGCGTGACCGCACCCTCGAGTTGCGCGTAACATATATCCCTCCCATGGCTACGAAGCGTCTCCTACTAGCTCTCCCTTCTTCGCTCCAACTTTTGGAATTTTTTCTCATTGCGTATTTTTCCAACTTGGTTCGATATGTTCTCCCCTCCCATACAAGGTTCAGGATTTTTTTTTTTTTTTTTTTTTGCTTCTCATCCTTTCTTTGCCTTTGCAGATTTTGCTACTCTTACTACATCTTATGCGCCTGGCTAGCTTTCGCAAGCTCTTTACTACATCACATCGAAGGTAGCAAAAAATTTGATTAAAAATTATCCAAAACAAAAAGGACGATATAGTTGTAAGACCGATTGTCGCATCACTGTTTATTGTGCGTATTGGCTTCAAGGATTGTGTAAAAAAAAAAAAAAAAAAAAAAAAAAAAAAATACATCTGATACCGAATAAAAAAAAAATCAATTGTATTGTAAAATTAAAAAACGAATGCTTGTATCGATGATTTTTCGCGAAAGCAATTATCGATCGGACCCATGAAATTCGAAGAGAGAAACGCGCAGCTCCAAATTCAAGTATCAAGTACATATATAAGCGTATAGGTTTTATTTATACACTCGGTAAAAATTAATCACTTCCTCTGTATAGCCAAAAATAAAACTCGTGTGATTTACTATTGCGTATGTACATTGGATAGTATACGCAAACACACACGTAAGTCATTTACGTTTCAGAGCATTAGCGAAGCTCGCGTATCTACATACATACGTAAATCCCTCCCACACCTATTTAATTAAAGTAAGTATATGTAGTACACGCATCAAAAAATGCCAATTCCAAATTCTTTTATTTAGTGTTGTTTATGCGGTGTATTCATCGGTATACCAGTTATTTTTTTGTTTTTTAGTCGGAGAGGAGCCTCCTCCGACTCCGAACTCCGAAGCAGACCTGCAGACGTCTTCTCGGGCGTGCGCACAGAAAAAGACACGATAAAGATATACTCATATATACACGCGAACGAAAACGAACGTGTCGTTTTTATTAGCCATGCAAGTGCATTCGTGAGGTGGCAGCTTATTACACGACTTTCTGCGATAACAGTCATCACGTTGCACTCGCTGTATAGCCGTCAAATCGATTATTTACCAATCAAGGGGAAATTAAGAAGAAGAAAAAAATGTTTTCTACTGGTAGATAGTAGTTGGAGTGCTGGTACTGGCTGCTGTCATCGTCGTCCGACAATTTACATACCATCGTCTTTGCTTGTGTACAAATGTGAGTGGCCGAGTATCAAAATTTTGTTTATGTCGTCCATCGTTTATCGCGACAATTGTCTCGCTCGACTTTGCTGCATTTTTATTCGTAATTCGATCATGTTTTCTGTGATTGTTATGAATTATAGTAAATTCAAATTTTGTTTGTCTTAAGGTAAGGCAATGATTTTCAGGTTTTCCGTGGCTCAGCCTTAGATAAAAAGCATTAGTGTAAACTGTTTGGATCAAGTAACAGGTAATTATATTATTTTAAGATGTCATAGTAACTTTTCATTTTTTTATTTATTTTTTTTTATTTTTACTAGTTAAAACACTTGAGCTTTGCTGTTGTTTTACCGCAACACCAATGGGTCAAACGCTCACAGAACCAGTCAGGACCAAAAAATCATCGTGTTGCCGTGACTCCAACTATCTAGTAGGCAGCTCGTGTATGCAAGGATGGAGAATCAGGATGGAAGATTCTCATACACACTTGCTATCCTTGACCGATGATCCAAAGGCAGCCTTCTTTGCGGTCTATGATGGCCACGGAGGTAAGTCATCCTCATGACAAATCATATTTGGTATTGATTCAACCTTAAAATTCTCTTTTGCCTAGGATCTGCTGTTGCACAACACGCAGGACACCATTTACATAATTACATTACTAGTCAAGATGCATACAAAGAGGGTAACATAGAAGAAGCTATGAGAAAGGGCTTCCTATCCTTGGATAAGGAAATGGAAACTAATGAGTCTCTAAAAAATACCGGGTCCACTGTTATAGCTGTTCTTATTAAAGATAATATTTTATATTGCGTAAGAGCAACAAATTTTATTTTTACCAATTGAAAAATAAAATCTCTGTTTACCGAAGTAATCGTTTTTTCAGGCCAATGCAGGTGACAGTAGAGCAATAGCGAGTGTGGCTGGGGTAGCTGTGCCCCTCAGCCATGACCACAAACCTACACTAAAGGAAGAAAAAGAACGTATCGTGGCTGCTGGAGGCTACGTAGAATTTAACAGAGTTAACGGTCATTTAGCTTTGTCGCGCGCTTTAGGTGACTTTATGTTCAAAAAAAACGATAGTAAAAAACCAGAAGAACAAATAGTAACCGGTAAATATTGCTAAGTTATGTCTGTAAAACAGACAATATTATATTTCGTTTGCACATTTCTCTCTCTCTCTTTTTAGCCCTCCCCGAAATAACTCGTCACGAAATAACAGAAGACTGGGAATTTCTAGTTCTGGCTTGTGACGGCATCTGGGATGTCATGAGCAACGAAGAAGTCGTAGATTATTTGAGGCATCGCTTTGCATACGCGGCGTCGAGGGAAGAGGAAGACTTACGAACGCTTTATCCAGAAGAGATGTGCGAGCATCTGCTTAATCATTGTCTGGCACCGGATGCTCTTATGGGAACTGGATGTGACAATATGACGATCATTCTTATTAGTCTTCTCCATGGCAAATCCTACAAGGAAATGTGCCTGCGCTGCCAGAGGCCAACCGCAAATCAAGAATCTGAAGAGTAATAATACATTTCTTCCATCCCTCATTACTGCTTTGCAATCAATGCGTATTCAAAACCAAAATGTCATTGTTGTATTTATTATGTATTCTTTTTTTGTTAGATTGTGGTTTATAAATATTTTTATAACTAAGAAAAATTGCGGTATTTAAAAACTTTTTTTTATATTTTATTACTTACAATTTCATTAGTTTATAAATAACATTTTGTTTGCGGCATAACAATATTATTTGCATGGGCTTAGAGTCCGTATCGGTCTTGCAGAGAATTAACAGCAGCATTGGCAAGTGAACTGAGTCTGCCAGCTACTTTGTGAACACCCTGCCTAACGCTTTCGCGAACATCTTCCAGGTCTACACCACCTCTTCCGCCAAGGTTCATTGAATAAGACGAAGTTGGTGAAGCTGGACTTGTTTCCCCAAAGTAATCTGCCGAGGAGATGGCGGACGAGAATTCGAATCGTCGCAAATTATTTTTTTGCTCCCACTGAAAATAAAATCAAGCTTACCTCCTTCTGATCCGTTAAAAAACATAATTCTTGTTGGAATAATCGAGTTACTTACATTGCTGTCGTTAGGGGAGTCTTTGAAAAATTGTTCGGAACTGATTGCTTTTGCATTAGCATACTTTTTGACGATGTCACTCTCTTGCGGCGCCTTACTGTTACTGCTACTGCTGCTTCTACTCGAATTTCTAGGAGCAGTTGATGTCTCTTTTGGTGGTGCAGCGGAAAATTGTGATGATACTCCGCGACGACTGAAATCAGGATCCTCCTCAATGATGAATTCGTCAATACCACTTGATTTTCTACGTAATTCTACTTCCACGAAATCGTTCAAGAGGAAGTCAATGTCTATTTTCTTTTCTCTCCTTGGCTCTGTGGCTGTTATTACTTTGGAAGAAACTTCTTGTGTGATAACTTGCATATCATTTACAGCTGAGTGACTCGAGCCTCTAAAATAAGTAATTAGGAGAGATAAAAAAAAAAATAATAAAAATAATTATCAATATGAATCATTCATCGAAATAATTACCGCTTCGTATTGAAACCTATTCCAAGACGTTCAGCTTGGTTTGCTTTCCTAGGATCTAATTTTCGAGTTCTTTCCTCAATTTTTTTTGCTAGCTCGGTTAAATCTTGTTCATAACGATATTGTAAACGTTCTTCTATCTCCTTCTTTTCCTCTTTATTCTTGGGTGGTTCTATTTCTTTGCTTATCTTTCCAGCTTCTGCAGCGCTCTTTTCTATCTCCTCGAAATTCGTTGTTATTCTCTGGGCACCAAGGCCACTGACTTTCTTCCCAAGCTAAGAGAAAAATTTTTGTTCTCACATTCAACAGTTTTCATCAACATACGTATATGTAAACAATAAATATTTACCATTCCCTTCTTGGGTTGAGGTTTCCTAACACCAATTGTAGACTTTCTTACAGCTGTTCCGAGCATGGGTGATTCTGAAATATTTGCAGATGGTCCCAGAACCTCCTTTGAGGGCTCAATTGTGTTTTTTGTCAAGTGTATGTTGTCAAGTTCGTGTATGACATGATCTTCATTTAATAGTTTCGTTATGGTATCTTCATGGACATGATTACTAGGCACAACGGTTTCAGAATTATCGATATCAAAGTTTTCGTGGGCTTCAAAGAAGTCAACGTCATTTTGATTACTTTCTGGTTCAATGTTTTCTTCTAAATGCAACTGCAAAGAAAAAGAAGAAATGTCAATAGCTACTTAACAATACTCGAAAGAATGAAATTTTTAGCAAAGTAAAACACCTTAATTTTATTAATTGATTATCAAGCTAAATAACAATTAGTATATTATTTGTTAATTATTTTAAAAACATCAAGTGAAAATTAATAAATAGTTCAGTGGCTTGAAAAATCAAAGCATTTTTTCAGCTCACCAAGTTTTGGTTTTTAGTTGTAGGTAGATGAACCTATGTTTCATCAAATAAATATCAAATATCAAGATTATTATACTGATAAAGTTAGTCATTGATTCCAATGATGAGAAAACATACCTTAGTTCTATACTTTTGCATTGCTTGGGCAGATGCTTCAGACAATTTTTGTTTGTACATCACAGCAGCTCTTGACGTATACTTTTGCTGTGCATCATTACTCGTACAATTGTGTTGGAGAAAGAATTTTTTCTACAAAATTGAATGTGCAACGAATTTTTCATAGGACAACAATATATAGATTTATGAAAATGTTTATATACTCACAGCATTGGCATTGCCACCCAATTGCATGTTCCTTAACTGCAACCATGTCCAATTGGTGTCAAGTTGCGTGGAGCGTACAAAAGTCAAGTGAACTCCAAGGTTTCGATGTACAGCCGAGCAGTCTATGCAAAGAAAAACTCCATATGTCACGCTGGACCAGGCTGGATTCTTGGCATTGCAGTCAAAGCATGTCTGGGTAAAAACAAACAACGACTCATCAGTACAAGAGAACAGCTGTTTTCAAAATTCTCCTTGCTTGTCACGAATTCACCACCACAAAGCATCTGCCTACGTGACAAGAGGGATGCTCCAAAATATATTGAATAATGCTAAATAAAAAAGAAAAGTAGGCTGTTGGCTATGAATTAATTGTAAGAAAACCACCTAGTGCCTGTAACTGGTTCACTTGACGTTAGACAATCGTTTTAGAACAACACCTTTTTTTTCCACATCATCACTCATTAACCAAGTCTCGCGTGTTAACTGACGTTAACATTGAGGCAAGAGAAAGAATAAACACGAACCTTGTTGGCAGGTTGTGCTCGTAGACGTTTGAAAACTTCCTCGATGTCGATCTTGCTTGGTGCATGATCTGCCATTTTTGACGTACCTCTCTGCAGCTCACTGCTTATAGTTGCCTACCTATAGTACCTACTATTATACTTACAAAACAATTAAATTTGCTATACCTAATGCTTGATATTGCTAAGGAGATCGAGCAGAGTTAGCAGAGTATACGCAGCCACTATATACGTATTCACACAAGCACCTACACTTACTTAAACAACAACGCACTGTTACTTAGATGTGATGCATAAGTCCTCTCTCTCTTCTCTTCTCTCTCCGACGAACCCTGAATGAGTATAAATGTGTGTAGAAAGTAGTGCAGTTTATACACTCTTTTTATCGTAACCGCGGAAGTAAGTATACCTTATAAAAAATGAGAAACTGTTGTGTCCTTTTTGGACAATATGTATTTGCACGCGCATTTACGAATACACAATACACAATGTCCTAGTATACTCCTAGCCCTAGTCCTAGACTCTCTCACCAGTCCTACCTACTAGGTACTCTTACTAGGATCCAGGATATCCAGGATTTAAAGGATTTGCCACAGCGCATTGCGTATACCTATACCTATGTATACGTTTGCTGTACCTATATTCTCGTACACGTGTTAAGTTGGCACAATGATAGCTTAACAAGCTACCAACTTGGCAGTAACTCAGCACTGATACTGATACTGGCATGGTGTGACGACCTACAGTATTCTGATTTTGTCATTCAACCGATTGCCAATGTGTGGTTTATAATTACAAACTAACAATTGATGGTTTTGTTAAGAAAATAACAAATAATTTACTGCAACATTATCTATTTTAGCGATTTAAAGCTCGATTAATAGTATTTTTTTAGATAAAAAAATCTTGACTTTATTATTATGTTACATTTTGCAGCATTTCAACACCAGGTATCGTGAGTAAATGTATCAGTCTTCATAAGATACATCTCCACACAAAATTCATTGGAAATCTGTTCTCTGTTGCGTCAATGTTATTGGTGAACTACTAGCATTTGCATCTTGCTCTTCCTCCACTTCTAAACTATTTAATCTAAAATAAATATAAGATATTGGTAAAAATAACCATCATCAACATTATCAAACGTATGTATGTAAATTAATTTTCATCTTACTCGTCTTGCTCTAGACTGTGTAACATTTGGAAACCAGCATCCAAGCTTGGAGGAAAACCCATGTCTGGGTCGAGTAATTGCAAAGTTGGCACTTTCCTATAAACATTGCTGAATTGAGAAAGCTCATCGAAATGCATACTACTGGGTCCTTCATCTGTGTCCATTCTATGAAGATAATTTTGTGGTTGATAAAAAAAAATATGAAAACCATGTAAAATGTAATAGATTTCATTTTTTTTTTTTTGTAAAATCAATATGTTTATTACTTTATATTGCAGGAATCAAATTCGAGCTTTTTTTGTTGTTCCATTTTTTTCTCCACATCTCTCCTTACATTTTTCTCATGTCTGAGCACATAATCTTGGTAATAAGAGTGTACACCTATAATTCCACCTATGTTTGCTTCCACAAAAACTTTCTCTAATGCATCCTGAAAAAAGGTCAATGTTGAAAGGTTATTCCTATCATTTTTTTTTTTTTTTCTTAAGTAAAAATGGTTCATCCTACAGGAAAACCATAATTTTTTTCCTCTGATGCTGTTTTAAGTAATAGGCTTATTCTCTCTAGAAAATGTTCAGCTACGTCTGTTAAGGTATCAATTGCGTGACTCCATGCTTTTTCAAATCCGACATGAGCCAACAAAGTTATAACCGCATGATTCAATATACTTCGTGCAGTAGCAGGTCTCAAGTGGCTGATGTTACCATTATTTTTAAAATTTTTCCTATAAACAGTGACCATTGAAAAACATATTTATTTAGAAGGAAAAATCGTACAGAGAAAATATTTTTACCTGGACTGTTTATTCGGTAGTGTGCAATCACTCGAATCTTTGAAACTGTCATCTTGAGATTCATCTTCGATCACAGTTAAATTTTTTATAATAGTTCCCTCTTCCTGTAAAAACAACAAAACATTGGAATTTTTGCAACAAAGTTTACTGATAACATTTAAAACTCAATTACCATTGCTCTGAGCTGTTGCCTCAGGTGTATGGTATTTAGCACATGTACGTTTCCCATAGGTAACCTTGAAATAAATCACATTGTTTAATCTAATGAGTCTTGGAAAAAAAAAGGAAAAACAAATCACATTTATGTACTGTATAAACTCGGGCTGTCTTTGAGTTGTATAGTCGGAATCCGTATTGTTGGACTCCTCCATAACTTGTCTCCAAATGTTGTCAATCACGTCTGGAGGAACGATTTCTTGTTTATCAGGTTCCCTCGGTGGCAGTTCACCCCATAGTCCGTTATAGCCGACGTTTTTACTTGATTTCATGGCTAATATAGGTATGTAATAATATTTTACTGATTTTATTTATTTAAAAAAAAAAAATACCGTTTTGATTTCAGCAACTCAGTCACCTCTGCAGTTTGTGTTTGTATACAAATCATGTATGAAGGTTAAGATAGGTATAATTACGGCTGTCGTTGACGTTATGTCGTATGCGTCGTATGCATGCACGCATAAGTACGTGGTCGTGCAGCTGTCGTGTGTGGCTGATTTTATTGTTGTTGATGGTGAAATTTTACTTATTGTAGCTGCGTTTAAAAAATTTATTATGTCAAATCACGGTCACTCAATTGAGCAATGACTTTTTGAAACAAGAATTAAAAATACGACAGATTTGTAAGTATTTTTTTCAAATAAATGCTTATTTCATTTGTGTTTCGATATAAAAAACATGAAAAGAGCTAAACAGTTGGAGCAAACATTTTTTAATGATATTTCAGAAAATGGAAAGTGTTGCAGCCTCAATAATACAACGTGCCGTTGAAAAAGACAAAAAAGAGCAATATACAATGGCATTGGTACTTTACCAGGAAGGTTTGCAAATACTTCTCAATTCTATAAAAGGTAGTGTGTGATATTTTATGATTATTAAACACTTTGAAACATTTGAAACAAAAATTAAATTTCTATGAAGATATCGACAATCCAGTTCAGAAAAAACATTTTCAAACCAGAGCTGCAGAGTACATGGATAGAGCTGAGAAAATAAAAAATATGATAGATTACAAAAAATCTATTGGCCAGTATAGAGAGCTAGTTAAGATTGAAGAAAATTCGACTGGCCATGGATATAGTTCTGTTTTTGGAAGATTTTTGGATAATAGAATTAATGAAATTCTAATTGAAGAATCTTACATCAGAACATTTCATCAGGCAAGTCGTTTTATCATTTTATTTTGAATTTAAGTAATTTTTTCCAATGACTAAGGAGTCAAAGATCACCAAAAATTTTGCAATTTTAGTGCCAGAACTTTTTGAGATTTTGTGAGTTGGCTGTTCTCAAATGTGAGAAGTTATCTAGAATATTATTAAAAACTACACCTTCTCCCAATGATAGAGACGAGCAAATAAGAAGATTAGAAGAAATTAAAAGGAGTTTAGCTACTCGACAAATTACGTTGGATGTACGATTTTCGGAGTCACTTCACGACAGACGAATACGGTAAATTTTAATTTTACTTGATCAGATTGTTTCCTAATATAATGAAAATTAAATTTGAGAAATTCCCTTCTAGTCTTGACAATGGATGGGTCATTAAAATAGGTAGAGGCTTGGATTATTTTAAGCCACCAGAAGGAAAATTTTCGTTAGGATACTGTGATTTCGAGTTGAGGCCTTGTCTTGAGACAACTGTGGATATTTACCATGAATTACAAATTCAAGACAAATAGTTTGAAAAGCACTAAACAACTTTGACCATCCGCAATCATTTGACTATATACACACATCAGAGGAGGACTTTGACGATAAAAAATATTTCCAAGTTATCCTTTGAAAAATGAGTATTGTTAATTTGTTCAATGTCATTTTTGAAATTCAATTGAGCGAATGTATAAAGAAATTAATACACAAGGACTTAAACGGAATTAAACGGGTAGGCAGTGCAGGGTTAAAAAAAAAAAATTGTATTTTATGTATATAATATACGTGTGTATATTTATATTAATATTTACATTTATTAGTTATTCTTTTACTTCATCCATCATGGCAGATGATTAATTTACGAACGATCGATCATAAAATTATTCATTATAATAAAAAATTATATTTTACGTACAATTGTTTATCCTTATTATTATATTTACATAAATTGTTATTTCACTTTGAGTACAAAAAATAAGGCATGCTAGACTAGGAAGAATTTCTTACGCTTTTGTACGTATTTAATGGGACATGGCTACTATGGAATCGTTATGAATAACAACTTTTAAAATACATTATTATACTGACGACTCCCAAAATTCTTATATGCCTATATACAAGCGCGTTCACAGCAACGTTTTGTTTGTCGATTTGTCAAATGTTCGCTCTCTCTCTCTCTCGTGACTCGAATACATTTTTCTTCCGGATTATGAAAAAAAAAANCTTTTAAAATACATTATTATACTGACGACTCCCAAAATTCTTATATGCCTATATACAAGCGCGTTCACAGCAACGTTTTGTTTGTCGATTTGTCAAATGTTCGCTCTCTCTCTCTCTCGTGACTCGAATACATTTTTCTTCCGGATTATGAAAAAAAAAATCCTCCTTCGATTGTGCTCGATCGTCTCGTTCAACTACTGATGTTTGCGTTACCCAAAACCACTTGTTACACATGAAGAGTAACGTCAACCTTGGATAGCCGGATGTACTCTTCAACGCGGGCTGCAATCGTTAATCCTGGCAATGCCGATCTGCTCGGCGGCGATCCTCCGCGCGACCCTCAGCGACTTGGTGCTGTGAAACCTGGCGCCCTCGTCCTTGATGGCTCGCGACACCGCGGGATCGACAGCGAGTTCAGGCAAACAGTCCGAGCCACCAACCGCCACGACTTGCCCAGCGATCTCCGGGTCAACGCACAACCGCGTAAGGGTCTCCCGCGTCGTAGCCGCCAATCGCCGGTACTCGTCCTCCAGACCGGGTGGCTGCATGCGCAGGAAACACACCAGGGCGACCGACGCCCGCGTCTCCACGAGATGAGCCCTGGCCTGGGGCAGCCGTGCCACCTGACCCACCAGCGACGCCACCTGCTCCATCAGCCACACGTTGCCGTCGTTTGACTTTTTTATACACCTAAACACACGTTCCAATGCTCTCGTCAATAATCCAGCTAACATTATTTTTCTTTTACACGCGAGTGACAAAAAACATTGAGGGAAAATTGTCTCACCTGAGGAGCTTTTTGATCGAGTCGCAGGCAACGACGGCGGCGACGCACTTCCTCGAGTGGGCCAGGTAGTTGAGTCCAGCGGCGGCAATGAGGAGAGTCTGCTTGCAGGTGGTGCGCTCGGCGAGTTCGGTAAGCGCCCGGACAAAGCGGTGGCCGTGGGGCTCGAGGTAGGGCAGGGCGACGCGGTCCATCCAGGGCGCGGTCACTTGGACGAGCAACGCCGCGGCCTCGGACTTTTCGGTGTGGGGCGTGGCCTCGGCCCCGAGGATGTCGGCGAGGATGTCGGGTCCACCCTGGGCGACGAATTGGTCGACCGCCTCGAGGCAGCAGCACACCGAGGCCAGGGCGCGCAGGCTCGCGCAACGCAGCTCCGAGGAGAGCCGGCTCGACGAGACGAGGCTCGCGAGGAGGGCGCGGATCCCCGAGCACCGAGCCACGCTGGCGCCGGCCCGTGGACCCGCGAGCCCGAGGGCCGTCAGGGCTGCCAGGGACCCGCGGGCCGTGCTACCACCCTCCCGTGGAGCTTCCTCCAGGCCCCGGACCACCTTCTGCAATTCACACGTTGAGTCTTATTTATTATTGTTTTCTTTTTCTCTAATTATATAAACTCCAATGGCTTTGGACCCCCACATGGTGCTTTTAATTTTTAATAAAAATTCTTTCCACCAAAACAATCCTTGACAATTTTAATGAAAAAATAATTCAGACGAAACGTATTGCTCTCGTTTGAAAAAAAAAAAAAACATATTCCCAATATTTCATTGTAAATGTCAAAAATCAATAACAATGCGCTTTTTTGAACAACAGTTCCATGTACAGTCCACGCGCGAGTTACTCGCCTCGATGTAAAAGTCGAGCCTGTCGTCGAGGGCCCGGTCCACGGAGTGCTTGAGTCGCGTGAGCTGCATCACGAGACTCTGGGGATCTGCAACCGACGCCTGGACGATCCTACGGGGCAACGAGCGGCCGAACTTGGCGAGGATCTCCAAGGCCTCGGCTTCGATCGAAGACAACAGGGCTTGGTCCACCGCTTCGTTCTTCGAGTTGCCGATCGCACTGCAACGAATTGTAACCCGGTAAATGACGTATACAGTTAACGTAGATTTTGTAGGGAAAGTGGTGTCGCAACAACTCACTCGATCAGCCGGCGGTACGTGCGGTCGAAGCGGCCGGCAGTGTCGATGGCTTTTTTCGCTGCCGTGGTCGCCGAGGCCGTGAGCAGCCTGAGGTCCCTGCTCCGGGGATCGTCGGGGAGCCTGCGCCTGGGCAGGGACTTGCTCTGCAACGTGGCCACGCACTCCTCCTCGACGTCCAAGCGCAGCTCGCACAGCCAATCCTTCACCGGGGCGTGCGCGTTTGTACACGCGCGTGAGGATTCGGGTGGTCCGGGCTGGCACGGCTCGTAATTGGGCGGATCGCTCGAGTAGAGAAAGTCGCCCAGGCTCTCGACTGCAGGCCGCTCCTCGGCTTCCGGGCTTCTGCGTTGGGAAAATCGTTTCTTTATGATAAGTATTTATATTTATGAAAAAAAAAAGAAAAAAAGATCATAGAGGTACTTGTTGCACGTTAAAACTGTACGGTCGGCAAATCACCGCAATTGTATATTTCCGCGGAAGACGAGTCATCGCGCCCTTGCCGCCGTTTATTATAGAGAGTACTAGTAATGCAAATATCACATGTCTATAGTGGTACTTTTCTTTTTCCCTTCTATACCATGCATTTCATCGGAAAATAGTTTCTCGACTGTTTGCGCTTTTTCGCCATCCTCCCCCTTTTTGAATCGACCTACTTACCGCTTACTGTATTTTCTCCCGTAGCATATATATGTATATAAGGGGTGGCCTTTGTGTGTTAGTACATGATGTATATTGTTATATCTACGTGTGCATCCGATAAACGATGTCGCTGTGGGCGTTTTTGTCTTTTTCGTGCTTCTATTGTAACAAATAAAAACTCGAAAACTTGTTTTTTTTTTTTTTTTTTATCGAGAGGTGACATTTTACACTTACAATACATTATATTTGGCGTATAAACATAATCCCATAATTAATATAGGTCAAGTTTTTTAAATAAAAATTCATTTAGTATGCGACTTTCATTGTGCTCTCGTCTACTAGCATCGTTTTTCTCGCGTGAAAATACAAAATCCTAATCCGCGCGGTGATTCGAACGACCGGAAGGACGAAAAATCCGTGCCATATATATAAACGTGATTCAAGATTATTCGTGCATATACGTACACGTAATACTCGGCGTACACGCGGCGATTTTCAAAAGTGACTAATCCGGCGGTGGCTTATCTTCCTGCTTTTCGCCTCGCTATTACATACATACTATATATCAACGGCCTCGCGATCTCCTATATCTCCCCCTCTTGCGGATATAAGCGCGCGAGTGACGCATATATAAATATACACATGCGGGAGTACAGCATATATATAATAATAATATATTGCACATGTAGGTATAGGTATCGCACACCTGCTTTAAAAGTATACGTTTCGCGAGCCACTCGATGGAGCAGCGTGAAAAATTCCAAGCTCGTTCACTGCCACGTTTTGCCTTGCCGATCTCTCGTTTTTTCTCATGAGATAAAACAACTGCAGCAGCACTCGATGAGTATACACGTCGACGCTTATCAGCTGAGAGAGAAGGAGTTGATTTCATTGCGCTGAGATTCGCGTTTTTTATATATACATATTAAATACACGTGTGTGTGTGTGTGCCTTCTGCCGCGTTGCATTGTTGTATACGGGCCGGATGGAAGAGGAGATGCGAGTAGGGTATTGTGTTTTACAAGCGCAGCTTTGCGCGACATCCGATTTTTTTCTGACCCTGAATTGTTTTTTTTTTTTTTTTTCTTTCTTTCTTTTTTATCAATCGAACTCACGCGTGTTTCTGCGCGAGGATTTTAAGGTTTTGGTGACGATACTCTGTGTGGATGTGTATACCGATTTCGTTTGAATTTCATACGAACGTGTGAAATATATTTTTGCTAAGCGTGCCCGAAAACAATAACACGAGGTTAATTATAAATCGTTGACACAATCCATCGAGCAACAGTTTCATTGCGGTGAAGATTTTCTTCGGTTTGAACATCAAGTTTTTAGTGTTTCGCTAACGAGAATTTTCCGTCCCCGTTGCAGATACCACACTAGTTCATCAAAAAACCAATTTTTACACGTAAATATCTATGGACAGCGTCACTTTTTAACATAACGTTTGCTAACGTCGTATCGATCAGACATGATCGGTATACACCGTCTGTCAAATAAATGAATCCCAATGATCGTAAAGCGAAAAAAAAAATTTTTTGATTCGCGAAGCAATCCTGATTAGTCACTAATTGAAATAACCCATGCAATTCATTTGCATAAACAACGTACACTCGTGCGCGCGCGCAAATTTATATAACGCTAACTCGACAAATCGCTTCTAATTTTTTTCAATCTAGCACATATATTACACACGATCTGCGATCGTCGCGCAAAAATCGATGGCTATTAGATTGTTCTTGTTTTTTTTTTTTTTTTTTCTCCATAATAATCTGTCCAACAGATTTCGTTATCGACGTGACACTATTTCCCACCCAAAACAAATAAAACGAAAAACCGCGATCAACCGAACGACCAACCAATAACTTTTTTTTTTTATATATATATATAAGGTTCAAGCAGAGTAGAGCTTGGTAAACACCGATACCCGACTCTCTCATGCCTATAATCTGTAACAACGACAACGACGACAAACAGAGATGACCGATAATAACCGCGAGTTTTGTTTTTACGTTACACGCTGTCGCGGGTGCAGATGCAATCTTCGATATGTCAATCGAAGCCCTACATTTGACTTTCCAAACACGCCTCTCGTCACAGATTCGTCGAAACACACTCACAAAAAAAAAAAAAAAAAAGAAAAAAAATTACAGACTTAACCATCTACAACACAAAAATGATAAGTAATCATGAGCCCGCGATCTGTACACAGCTTAAACACGCCGTACAAGGGCGAGAGAATTGGCTGTTCTAGCGGCTCTAAAATTCGCAAAGCGAGCTCACGTGTTTGTTTGTCACTTCCTGGACGTATTTACACGCGCCCGCTGTATTTGTACAATATATTTTACGAGTAGGTCTATACAGAAGTTGGTAGTCCAAGGACACGTTGTTCATATACTTTTGTCGGTGAGAAAAAAAAAAAAAAAAAAAAAGTAGGGATTTCTGTGTATGTATACCATTATCCTCGAGTTAAAATCATCAAAAACAAGCTCGAAAAGTATATGTATTTCAACACTCGATCAGTGTATGATATGAGGTATGCATCTGCTGCTATACCTCCCGATTAGACACGCGGCCCCTTATCGCATTCGCTTCCTCCGCACGGACAAGCTCGCGCTCTTTCTCTCTCTTTTTTTTCTTTCTTCATACGTTCACGCCCAGCTGTGCAGGTATAGGTAAACACAATGTCATTCGCTCGAGTGTCCCTTTTTTTTTTTTTTTTCTTCATCTAGAGTTTGACACCGGGACCTTATCGTCGTGCCGTAAGTGTCGCGTCCTGCATGGGCTCGGAAATACCAATTTTTCGAGCATCGGTGTCGAAACGTTTTCCCCCATTCCGCATCAACGATCGGTATCGTTAGATTACCAAACATAGTCATATACATCTTTATCACATACATTTAAAATCAATCGAATTGATATTTTACCAAAGGCCCATTTACCGATCCATCGATAGCTCCGCAACTGTATACCCAACAATAACGGCTCGGCTTCCTCGATAATTCTCAATATATATATAACCATCACCGAATGCGTTTTTAAAAATAAGTACGAGCCCAAACATTAAACTATAAAATCCCCGTGCGATCCAATCCACGCAATGAAATACCATTGATACTGAAATAAATTATCATCACGAGGCTGTAGATACCGATCGTCTCAACGAGAGCCACTATATTGTTGCGCGTTAATTATTCTCGTGTGTGCGAACGGACGGAGTTGACGTGTACAAATTGTTCACATCCGCGTTCGAGATGTATACTTATATATGTAAAAAAAAAAAAAAAAAAAAAAAAAAAAAAAAAAAAAANTGTACATAAAAATGTTCTCTTTAAAAAAAAAAAAAAAAAAAAAAAGAAGGAGTAACTCACTCGTTGATGGTGCAATAGTCCAGTTGTCGAGTCTCCTCGCGGCGCCTTGCCGATCCCGGTCGTTTCGGCGTGGACGTGTGCGCCGGTCCAACCCCCCCTGAGCCCACACTCCTCGAGCGCTGCAACTCGTGTCGCCTGCGACTGCTCCTCCGTCTCCGTCGCCTCGGCGATTCGGGGCTGAGGTCCGAGCTATCGTCCGAGTCCGAGAAGCCCGAGTCCTGGCTACGCTGGCCCCGGCTCGACGGGCTGAACGAGCGCTCCTCGAGGACGTGGCTCGACGCCACCCCTGCCTGCACTGCCGTTGACGGGGTCGACATCTCCGACGCTCGCTCGCTGCTGCTGGAAAATCAATTTCGCATCGGTTACAGATGAGTTGCGCGGTAATTGGATGGAATTCTTTTTTTCTTTCCTCTCCGCGCGGATGAAATAATAACGCGCCGATGACGAGTCGAACGAGTCGAGGATGTCATTATACGCCGTGATATGGGACTCGTACGTTTTTCCTGCCTTTTCATCGAAAAAAAAAAAAAAAAAAAAAAAAAAAGCATTTCTTTTTCTCGAGTGCAACGCACATAGGTATTTTTACCCGCGGCGCGCTGCGCATTAGTCACGCGTTGTGCTTGATGGTGATTTTCGTACAGCAGAGTTTTGTATATATTAATGCGTATACGCGAATAATTCACGCGACGAGTTGATTAGTCACAGTAGGCGAGTCATCGCGCGGCGAGCGAAGCGCGTAAAAAACACGAGGCTCGACCGATGTTGTAAAAAAAAAAAAAAAAAATAAAATAAAGTATCGACCTGCGAGCCAGGGAGTCCCTCCTCGCAATCTCAACGTGGATGACGGTGGTGTTCTCGGGATCGGTGGTATCGCTGTCGGCCTGGTTCTCGTCGTTCGACAGCGAAAACGCCTCCTCGGACTCTCTCGAGGCGGGAAAGGGTCGGGGTCGCGGTCGCGGGCTCGCCGGGAGCTTAAAGTCCCCCTGGCTGGCCAACAAGTCGCGCGACTCCATTTGGCCCCAAAACACTTTGCTCTGGTGTCTCTTGAACGCGCTCATCCTTTTGTTTTTTTTTTTTTTTATCCTCCTCAATTTGTGCCCAAACGTACATATATATATATACTTATATACGATCACACACTATAGTTTGTGCACATTTCCACTCGCAATTCACTCCCTCGTTTGAATTTTATCTTCAAATCTTCACAAACAACGAAACTCTAGAAATAAATCACTCAATTGTCAATAAACACTCACGGTATCGAAATACTTTTCATCACTGAACCATCAACGATTAAAAAGACGAAAAAGCAAAAAAAATCGTCCTGGCATTTTGATTATTCTATACTGTTAAAGTACACGTGTGCCGAAGAGCGCGCGCTCCCGAGGTGTCCGTGCGGCGTTCGAGCGCCAGCTGAGATGCCACCGGAATGATTTCACGAGTACAGCCGGCCAGAAGCACACGCGCTCACGTATATATCGTACTCCCCCACCTGGACTAACAGTACAGTGGGACGCGCGAGCGATGGTTATTTGGTCGCGTGCCTCCGACGCCCCTCGCACGTATATACGCTCGTTGCAGTACAACACCACATGTGAGCCAGGGAGGGGTACCAACAACCCCCCTTTGAGATCGCCGTCGGGGTCGCTCGGGTGCGCACACACAATTTTCCAGGCGCTTCTCTCTCCACGCGCCTACCGATCCCCCCCTTCGGTATACAACGGAACCGTTGATGATGGGCTTTTCTTCTCTCCCCTTTTTTTTTTTTTTTTTTTTTTTTCGAGTAGCAGCTGCAACGATTTTACACCACCAACGGGGGATGCTCCATATTGGCTCTCTTTACACGGCTCCTTATACCTATGTACGCGCCTTATATATATGCTTTTGGGGCTACGAGTTGGATTTGCCGTACGATCCTTGGAATGCTGCGCGTCTTCCTCCACCACGCGAGTTTAAAAGCCCACCTTGCTACAATCCGCCGATTTTCGCGCGCATTTGAAAAAACGTGTTTTTGGCCCTTCCTTTTTTTTTTTGCCGATCAAAATACCGTTCGCGTTGATTATCGAGGAAGTATTGAATTGTAACGGGTACGCAAGGGACTATCGGAAATATCGGTGTAACAGTTTGTCGGTCAACAAGCGATAAGAGGGTTACTGTGCCGGGGAAAAGAGAGCGGAAGACGTGAAATCACTCGCGTCGACGCGAGGAGGTGACTAACGCTGCCTTTGATCCACAGTACACACACCAACCGACCGACCACGTTGATATGACTCCTCGAAGGACGAAAGACTTCTCGACGTCGCGCTCCTCCCCCTTTTTTTTTTTTTCTCGCTCAGTACCTCCCATCCCTTCGGGAACAACCTCCCCTATGTGCGATATATTATTGTGCACACGGACAAAGGGGGACCGCGTGGTGCATATATTTATAGGTACCCGCTTCTTCTCCTTCCTTCGTTTCGTCGAACGAGTTTTGAGACGCTCCGAGAGCAATCGGTATTATAATACGCTGAAATGAAAGTCCCGATCTCCCTACGGACACTCTCACTATTAGTAAATTACGTGATTCCAGGAGGAAAACGGGATTGAAGATAATCCCATGCGACTTTTCCCCGTATGAATGCCAAGTGCATCGGCGCCACGCCCCTGTAGCGACAAGTATATACACCCCGTGTATTATTACGTTTCCCGAGACGACGATGCGCTTATCTTTCGAGCACCGACTGACACCCAGTCTTTTATCTCTCGATACACGTATTTATTGTGCTCCTGGGTATATATTGTACGATTTAGGTCTCGACACTGGGTCTATACATGAACTTTACGTGTACCAAGTCTTGGGTGACAACTCGCTCGTAATTTCCATTGTTTATCCATTTGGAGCTCGATTGGTAAATAAACGTTCGTACCTTTACATCTCGTTCAAAAACGACATTTCTACTACTCATTCATTCGAACTAAACAAAGATAATAATATATCGTTAGCGATGAGTTAAAATCGAATTAAAAGAAAACAAACGTGGCACATGTGGGCGCGCGCATGAATATTAATACAAAACGGCCCAACGACTCTTCGCCGAGGCTATAAATAAAATAATCATAATTTATCGAAAATTTTAAAACACCCGCATCGCTGCGTTGCAAATCGCGCGGTGCTGCAGGAAAGGTGCGCGCTTTCACGCATATATTCACATAAAACGTATACACGTGTATTTGTATACATATATATTTTTTTTTTTGCTATTGCACACACACGCGCGCACGCTAAAGTCGCACGGACAAAAGATTTTCTCCGACAATGAGCGGCGTATAACCGACAAAAACCGGTGCCCACATACATACGTATATATAATATGTGTATACCAGCTCTGCAACCCTCGAATTCTCGGGCGTATAAAACACGAGGGGATGTTAAAAGTTGAGAAGAACCAGCCATCAGCTGCATTGGGAGCATGTATTTTCTGATGCGTATGGAGAAAAGGGAGCAGATGAAGGGCAAGGAGGGAGTGGGGGGAGAGGTGCTTTTTTGGGCGTAACGACTTTGGGTGAACCTTTCGAGACTTTTTAAACGCGCGATGAGAGACGCGCCTCTGCCGCGGATGCTGGTGTATTTAAATGATCCCTCTCGAAATAGATGCACGATATGATGACGATGCCTGCATATATATATATACAGAGAGCGCGTGTGTGATTTTTAGGCGGTGCCACTCAGATGCATATGTTTTACAACTTATCTGGGCTGCATTGAAAGAGAAATCTCTTTTTCTAAAGGGTCTCACGTGCAGGTATATAAGCATTTGTATACATTATGAAAACGAGTCAAAAGTTATTATCATACGATATAAGCAGGTTGGCTCTCCGAATGCAAGGAGTAGGTATGTATTTTTGTAGTGGCGTTCAATCGAGGATGAGGAATTTTAATCTCAATGCCCACTCCGTCGTTGTAGAAAAAAAAAAAAATTTCACACAAACAATGGATGCAGCAATCATGATTACCTATAAAATCCTCCCATGGTTATCAAAAATAGAGCACACAAACGGTAAATTAAAAAAGAACACTCCAAGCAGGTACCATTATATTGAATGGACATGCAGGCGTGATTTCGAGCGCAACATATACCGTGAATCAATCGCAGCAGCGACCGATCCTACATCTGCACCACTGGCAGATCTATACGTCTTCTCTTTTACTCACGAAACAGCCAAAGATGATTATGATGGTTTGTACTTGTATATACATTAAATACTCCTACAAGAAAAAAAAAAAAAAAAAAAAAAAAAAAAAAAAAAAAAAAAAAAAAAAA